CAAGCCGTATCGTTAGGCTCGTCAACAAAGGAAGAACCTTTAGAACGTGGATTGGGGTTTCAAAAGGACTGTCTTGATCCCCTTACCAACATCACTTCAGTGGCGATTGGTGCGTTCAATCCAATCTTAACTGAATTAAGCCTTGATATACAAGAGATCCACGACACAGGAAACAGCATTGAAACACACAACAACTGCACACACAATGTGCTTGAGTAAATCAGATTTGCATTACCCTAACAAGGGCCATTATGAGTCACACAACTGTGTGTTGCATCAGAGTAAAGCTACTCATTTCCTGAAGAACATATCGGTTACCAGAGAAGCTTAATTCCCTGATGCGCAACGTATTGTTCATACTACTTGTAAAGATAGGGTTAAATTATATTGTTATCGAAAACAAGTTTGCCTCAAACAAGTTCAAGAAATAGGGAAAAAAGTTCCGGTAACAAAGTATTCTCAGTCAGCAGACGAAGTCAAATGGTTGTCATGATTTAGTTGCTACACCAGCGCCACTTCATGTTAAATTGGGGTAATGGTGGAGGCACAGTGGTTTGGTCGCTGCTGTCGACACGCTTTGGACCCCATGGTCCGAGGTTTGAACCGCGCCACCGCCACCCAACTTCGTTGGTGCTCAATTTGGTCGTCATCCGGTTTTATACCACGCCTAACCTGGAGGGACCATATGTAGTTTGCCACTTCAAGTCTCATGGCTTAGATGACTGGTTTCCATCAATGAACAGCAGGTCCGTATGACCATGAAGTTTTAGCTCGTCTGCTATTCGAAAATAGCATCTCTACTGACTAAAAGATAAATCATGTTTATATACATGTGTATATCAATATAGGTTTCGTGACTGTTGTCACATCGCTGGAAAATTGTCAGATCATGCGGTTGACGAAGAATGAACACGTGATATGACAATCGATGAGAGCTAAAATGAAAGCACAAATTTTCACATGAAAAATTGTGCATTAAACAGTAAAAAATTTATGAAAATCGGCCCGAGGACCTAATAGGGTTACCTTAGATTCTTTAGAAGTAACTCCTTGGCAAATCCATTCAGTTTTACCTCTTGCATATAGCGTTGCTAAAAGGAAAATGATAGAATTAAAAGAGAGGGTAAAGTAATTAATCGAGAGCAAATCAGGACCACTAATCTTTTGGTAGCAAGAAATCAAATCTACAGGTCTGCTAATCAAAAATCTTATTAATCTGTTAATCAAGCGTACTCAGACATTTAGGTTCCTCCGAAACCTTAAAGATTTTCCCAAGATTAAAGCAATTTGCAGATTAAACAAAATAATTTGCGGTAAACCGAGTGAAGGAACTGAAAACGGGAAAGCTAGAGAGAATTGCACAGCTGTTTCTACCAAACGAAGGGTGGACCTGGTGACGGTACAGTCAGAACACAAGCATGCTACTCACTGGACGTGGTGGTGGGGTGGAGGGCAAGTTGCAGACTTCTCAATTCTGTCTACGCATGCGTAACATAGCCCTACTCCATGTGCAAATCTGTTGCCTGCCTCTAATCTCGTTCACTCTATCACCCGCTCACTAAGGCTATCCGTTCCAAACGTAACTACTTCACAAACTATCTCCAGGTTTGTCTGGGATTTCAAGCCAAATAACTATTCTCACCAGACACCAGAAGTTCGTTTTGCAGGATTTCTTGCTCATAGTGACCAGACAAGAAGAAATCAAAAATCTGTGATACGAATTTCCATTTGTTTATGTCCAAATATGTTTATGGTCTCAAATTTAGGCAACAAACATATAGCACAATCAAATTCCAATGAACGATATGATTATTACAAAGCGGAAAACTGTACAATGAAAAGTCGTCAAAGGTCTATGAACAAGTACCTGTTTTTAATCATTATTATGCGTACAAATACGATGGAAATGTTTGTGATGACCAACAAGGAGCCCTCAACAGCTGTTTCGCCTTGCCTGGGACTCGTCAACAGTGCGTAAATTTTGTGTCCCTGTCAGGACTCGAATCGTGAACCTTCGGGTTTCAGACTTCGGTTATCACAAGCATTTCCATGGCATTTAAATGCAATCAAACTAGAGGGGAATTAACTATCATCGAAAGAGTGTAACTGGCACCAAAGATCATCAACAGGGTCTGGTGCCAGTGAAAAAAACTAGCTAAGTTATTGTGTATGGTTTTTATTTGTTTTGGCTTGGTATTGGCTTTTTTCCCACTCGAAAACTGTATAAGATGATTGAAATAATTTATCATTCACATAGATGGGAGCGCTTACTCAATCAGCACTCACTTCTGGACTCTTATCTTCTTCCAGTTGGTCGTAATGAAACAACGACGGTTCGTAGTCATCCGAATTCACTTCAAATCCGTTCTTGAAGGTTGGAATGTACACTGGTGAGGGGTCGAAATCCTCCCTGTTGAGAACAAAAACTGACTTCAGCATGAAACATGAGGTACTGTTAGAAGTTCTGGAAACATGTTTGAAAACGTCTGAAAGGGGTCTTGAACCCGGGGGGGGGGACGGGTGATGACAGGCACTGCTTCCCGGTTTACTTCTTGCATCAATCGACTTGCGGTTTTCGGTATCTATGCTATGACCGCGATACGAAAGTTTTTGATTTCATCGGGAGCAGCCCCATTACCCTGGTAAAACCGAGATCGCTTGGTCGTTCGGACGAACTGGTATTTGCGCAGAACGCGTTAAGCTGACGATCGGCCGTTATTATGGGTATATACATCTAACAAGGGAATGGAGCTTTTGGTACATAGTTATTTTCATGTACAAACGAGTGGGTTACTGCGCTCAAGTGAGTGCACTGCTATTGGACTCCCTTTGGTCGATCAACACAATCCGGGTCGTGCTTGATTCACGAGGATTCGGCAAGCAACCTCGATATGCCGGGCGATTCATCAAACGAGAAAAACACTGCTCAGTAGCCATTTCAACCGTGAATCAATCGCATTTTTATCCGATGAAACTGTTTCCAGTGGTCATGGATGATCGCAACACACGGGTGCATTCATACACACACACACACACACACATTCCTGAAACGTGTGTCGATATGGTAAGGAAAGTTGACCGTTGTGTTTTCGTCGTTTGCTGCTCGTGAGAAACACTTGACGGTTATCAGCCCTTGTTAGAGGGATTTAACAGACAACGACAAAGCGCATTCGGTCTCGGGGGAAGGGGTACGTGTTAGATCTAAGGTGTAACGAAGCCAAACCTCTCGATCCGCTAAGGTGAAAACTGACCGGTTCTACAGTGAGAAAATGCAAAAGGGGTTTTATTTCCACGGATCGCTTCAGCGTAGAGTACAGTGAAGTGGTACACACCAATTGCCATCACGTGAAATACTACCACGAAGTACATCATTTTTGGGTGGTTACCTCACAATGTTCTCCATATTCACTTGTCTCTTATGAGGATTGAAATATGGTTACCGAAAATAATGCTTGATTCCTTCGCGTCGTCTCTAATCTAAACATTTACACTCTGAGCGTGGAAATAAGTATTTTGCAAAAGTTCCTTTCCCATTTTGGATCAATATAGCCACAGTAATAGCCGATCTTCGAAGAACTGCGTTCTGTACGAAAGGCGGGTTTATTTACGCTTTCGGTCTCTAGCGATCACTTGATTCGTCCAGGAGCAACCAAACGGGTAACGACGAGATCAGGACAAAATCCGTACTTGATTACATTCAACCCAAATAGGTACCACTTGTTGAACAGGGAAGGTCAGAAGGCAAACATTGCTCTCCCAACGGTCGCGTACGCATAACATTGGACAAGATGGACAAATGAAATGCATCAAGAAATCTGGTTAGGTTTTATAATATGTTTGCGTGTGTTTATGTACGTACGTATCTGTGTGTGATGCACAGGATTGGCTACAGCCAGGGAAGGCCAAGGGTAAAGGTCATGTGCTTTTGGACACAACGTGGGTTTATTGCGATCGATCGATAATGCCTCGACGATCTTTGGTCGGTGTTTGACGTAACGAAACCGAGAATGTGTTCCTTCTATTGTGATCAGCCTCAATCGTATTACGTTATTGATATGCTAATAAAACAATAAAAACCAGTCCGTTTTACGTTTTGCATCCTTTTAGTTGTTCTATAGTTGTTCATATTTTTGACCTTAACCAATTTGCCAACATGAGCACTCACAGGAACAAGAACACATATATGCCAGTTAGTTCTTTGAAGACTCATAGAGGTTTAAAATGTGTTTTCGATGATTTGCACTGAAACGCCTGTGTAACCCAAAACGTCATCACCTTTGTCAGTTCAGATGAAGGATTATCCGATAGTCACTATCCTGGTCCGGTCTCAACAAAAGCGTGAAACCTGTTGAGAAGAGAATTGGACACAAATTTGGTGCCCAATTTAATCCTTTATATTTTAACTGATCTTTCTATTTTCNCAAAATAAAATGTTTCGTAATGGCGCACCTAAATTCTCTAAGGTTTGAATCGTTTGCAATAAATAAGATTAAACTTGAACACCATGGAAACATAATAGTAAGAAAAAAATACCACACTATCCAAGTTGTTTGTCACTGTGATGCTAATGACATTGAAAAACATTCACGACTATTCCAATCAGGCAATCCGTTCAGTTTTGGACCAGTCATGGGAGAAAGTTGTGCAACGAAAATGGTATCCGCCAGTCCACGGTGAGCTTACCTCGGTCTATTCCAGGCGGGTCCGAGTTCGCGTAGCAAACGCTCGTGGTCAGTGATCAGATTGGCTTCCAAAAATACAATGGTGTATCGCGGAAACAACGGTTGCGAGATTGTGCGCGGGAACTCGGCAGACATGGCTGCTGATTGGCGCCAATAGCCCACACACTCGCTGAATAAGTTGATTGAAGCATAATATGATGAAGGTAATTAGTAGCAGTAGCTAACTCAGAAGTAAAATTGCAAGAAAACGTGTCACACAAAATTAATTGGATTTTGGTAGTAATTTTGATCACGAATATGATGAAGTCTTGGTTAATGATGATGATGATGATGATGACAATGATGCCAAAACCATGAAGTGCGATACATCGTCTCATCCAAACTCCTTACTTCCCGTCAAGTGTTGACAATAATGTGGCATTCTCTAGTACCTTCACAGACAATTAACTCGAATTCCAAGCACTGAAATTCAACACGTTCATTGATTGGGACAGCAGCAAAATGAAATTTATTAACTAACATCAGACAACAGACATGATTTTATTAAATTATAGTCTATGCCTTGAATAGTACAATTGTTATTGCTCAAGTGGCATCACTAATTGAAGTCTATTATTAGCCATATATGCATATAATCATCCTTCTAATTAACTTCTTGATCGGCAGTCCGTTTCTTCCGACAAATGCCCAAAACTCCGTACTAACAAGACCATTCTGTGCAATCTAACAAATCACGTGCGCATTCATATCCTCAATCGAGAAATACCCATTGTCACGGAGCATGTACGAGGTCGTCAGGTAATTTCAACACTGCTATGACAACACGAATAAATGGTTACGCAAACAAGTTTCGGAATAAAATCCATATTTGGTTTGATACGTGCTGCTTTCGAGTCATTGCCAATACATACGGTTGCAGGAAGTACTTTGTAGTGGTTAAATGCGGCTTTGGGTGACTGACCAGTGTAAATATGCTTTGTCATGTCGGTTTCCGCATGGGTTGGAGGGCCGCATTGTAGCTCAAAGATTAGAGCTAACTAGAAAACTGAGCTTCAGTAGAACGTCAGATTGGATGACAAAGACGCATACAAAAGTCAATCTGTGTAGTGTGTGGATTTTAATGGAATCGCAAATATTTCTGTCATTTGAATCCTGGTTTGCGAGAATAGTTCTAAAATAGTTTGCATTATATACAGTTGTAGCTATAAATAATATTCCGCGTTGCGACATGTCCTTTGGTACCACCAGTCGTGGAGTACAGTAAACAATATACATAGAGCGATAGAATGGAATGCCGGTGAGGCTTGTAAGATTTCTTATGTCGTATCACTCATTTATCTATGCTGGAATGTGCACATCGTGCAGGATAACCGGGTCTCTGAATCAAGTCAGGAGTAGGATATTGGTGTTTGCTATGGCCGATATTCTACACTTTAGCAGTAGAGTGCATAATACCGACAGCGCTCGTTGATCAACGTTGTTTTCAGCTGAGATCGGACGGAAGGATTAGGGATTTGGTATTTTTCGGTTGAAATCATTGTAAGAGGAGGGTGGACGCATTTCCAAAGAACCCGTTCTCCAAGACCCTGTGCAAACAGTGTCCGGGTTGAGATCAACACCGTAAACATGTTTATTATTATAAATAGTTACAAACCCGTTACCTGATGATGATCCCGGGGTCAAACAGACAACACAGTTTTAACATGGAAGGCTCTACTGGGTTTCCTAATTGCGACAAAAATGTCCAAATCACTACGCTGATTGATTGTGCCAAAAACAGAGTTCTAGAGACTAATACAGAGACTCAGGGTTCATTCTACGGTCCCGCCTTGTGTCTTCAGGGCTGCTACTCGTCCAGTNNNACTGGAAATATTCAACCACTGATGATCCCGTCGAATACCGAAACCGATTTGAAGCGACAGGCTTCCCAATGGTGGAATTGGACTATAAGACTTGAGTGAGGGAAAGCTATCGAAACAACGTTAATCTGGTCTCCCGCACTGGCTTGGCCGTATCTCACAGTGCATCGGTGCACAGTAGTTGGATTAAGCACTTCATCCGTAACACCCCCTCCAACTGGAAGACATAAGTGCCTGTTTGAGAGAGATGCCAAACCGTAGATCAAAAGGAAACCATCGTACGTGGGACTTCATATTTTCCAATCACTCCAGAGTTTACCTATGAAAACACAATTCAATCACTTTTTCTCCTAACTGGCCACCAATCGGATTTTCCCCAATGTGAAATAGCCGCAAAACAAAGCCTCAATTTTAACAAAATCAAATCGGAAACTTATGAATTCATGAGGATAATATCTGGGGAGGAAAAACTAACATGAAATATGCATAATCCTTGGCATTCGGTAAACAATAAAATGCAGTTAAAAGCCCGTTATTTTGACAAGATAAATTGTGGGAATTCGAACACACAGAGACGCAGATTTGGCGAGAGCTTTGGTATGGTGCCTTGAAAGTGTTTCACAAAACATCAATTTATACGAATGTGCTTAAAATACATTGGAATAATTTACCCTTATCACCTTGTTACATACAAACAAATCGAATTCATTGTTACTGGTAAATAAGTGTTACTAGGTAGCTGGGAACAATGACATTTGCATAGAATTTGCCAGCATAGGTCACCGAACCGCGAACACCGAGGCGCATTATTGGCTTTGATTTAGCAAGCCGAAAAGGAAATCAATTTCTCATCTATCGCTCGTATCACGGATAAGTGCGCAATTAGCACATTCAAACAAACCAAGTCAACTCAATATACTTTTCTTATGCAACGTGTCAATAGTCAACACCAAAAAGAGTCCAAGAGTAATCTCACGATCTCCGCCTCTTCGCTTTCACTGTCGGTTTCCGACGCACATCGGAACGTGTTCACTTATTCCGACGCTCGGTGCAAAGCAGTTCTCACCAATGCGCATGGAATACAAGAAAAGTCCTGACATTCACGGGACAAAGTCAAGACACCACGACACAGTCGAGAGAGCGAGAACGAGAGATTCACGTATTGCATACATACACTCACATACACGCGCGCATCGGGCTGAAAGCTCGCAAAAGTATGACGTAGATACCTGTGAGCAACAACAACTGTGCACTTTCCGCGAACGTGTGATGACAGAAACGAAAATATGCGACTCAGTTTGCTACGCAGTTTCACCAAACCAAGAAGATTAACCTGAAATCAAGGAAACCATGACTATTATTCCGTTTCAACAATCTTCGTTTCCTTTGATCTATTCGAATGAAACAAGTAACATGCAACGAGCAAGGTCGATGCTCACCAGCCAGTTGGCCTGACCTCAATCGACCAGCCGTCTGTGCCCACTGAATAGGCTGAATAGGGGAATACCACATTTGTGGGTAAATTCAAATGCTTGTCTTGTGAAAGGCTTGTCTTACTATCAAAATCATCAACTAGTAGAGATAAACTTACCCACTGATCTAAAAGAAGCCCTGTTTTCATTATTGTACCATTAAAGAAGACAAATATAAACAAAAATAATACTCCGTATTGCGGTTAACTGTGCCTCCGAAGGGTTTGGAGTCAGCTGTCGATCCCGAGTGATTGAGCGTGTTCTGAAAAATACGATGTGGTAAATACTAGATACTGCATTGAATAGCTCAGAGTTCATCGCGTTTGAGTAAAGCTTTGATAGTCTGGGATGCTTAGGCTTGCCCAAGTGGTTGTCTGTCCCCGTTCGAGACCGGATCTTTGTGTGTAAAAGGATCTCTATGTGCAGCAATCATTGCACCACCCCATTGTTTATAATCCATCTTTTAAGTTTCACACTGTGCAACTCAAATGACCCTCTCGATTGACTAATTCTCTATTACATAAGCGTTGTGCATCTTTTCTTATAAATTTCTGACTTATCTAAGTTAATTTTTTTTCCTAAATAGTGTGACATAATAAGGTTAGTTAAGCCGCTGAGATAATGCTAGCCAAGGGGCTACGCGGTACAGTTTCTGGACAACGAACCAGAGGCCAACAGTGTCGACGAATGAGCGGTCATGCGGTCTAAACAAAAGCTATGTGGCGAACAAAACACGAGCAGACGACCGGTAATAATTGGTTTAACCGATGACATGTCTCGGTACATATTATTTAATTCCATTTGTTTGTTCTCATAAGCCAACCGCTACTTATGTAACATTAGTCCTGCCTCTTGTTGATGATAGACGAATCCCAGTGTGATTGACTGGTGTTTCGTGTCTATTCCGATCACTACCCGTCACCGCATTCAACTTGCTATCCGATATATTTCTCCAGTTCTCATTACTCGACAGTCTTTACGATCATCACTGTTTTTCTTCTGACATTTTTTAGATATGATCTCCAATCGCTATTTCCGTGCTCAACTCAGAATGGCCGCATAACAATAATCTTTTACCTTATCCACAGTACTTGGGCATGTGACGGCCTTATTGTGACCTAGTTCAACCTATTTCCTATATGTATACGGTTGATTCAGAGAACACATGACGCTGATGGTCACCATCAACTCTGCTCATGTCGCTCCATAAGTATTGTATTGTCAACCTTCTAATGCCTGGCGCTTAGTTTGCTAGGTACCCCAAAGTGTAGTGCTTTCATCCAAAATAATGAAGTATCAATGTGACATTTACTAGTTTATTTGACAGCTTTCAGTAATTGTTCTCGAACTATTGTTTCATTGTGAAAAGATATTTACAGCATGCGTAATAGTTAATCCACCGGTGGACGCCATTCACACTCTAGTGGTTCAGAGCAGGCACCCCAATGGATCGCGAAACCATCAGTACTGAATCAATCCACACGCCCCTGTGTTTTTTGGTTCTCTGTGATCACCTATGATGTAAGAACACGCCTAGAAGTTTATCTGTTATGGTGAACACAATTCACAAAAACGACAATAACAACAACAACAAACAGAATGAAATCCACACTCGTGTTCCAGTGCCTGAGAAGCTCTCGTTGGCGTAAAAATGGACTACTTCAAAATAAGTGCAAGCTCTGCGAAATTCCACTCAATCGCACCAGATCGTTCCTTGATGCGTTGCAAGAAAATCGGGAAAATTACCTCGTTGCATATCTCTTCCAGTACTCCGATCGATACCGATATCAATATGCTTGTCCCACGCGTGTACCCAAAAGGGTAATATTCAACCCTTATTTCGTTTATTATTGGAAACAAGGGGAAGAATTGAAAACCTGAATGACATCAGTTCGAGCCTGATTTGTCCCAGTTTGCTGAAATACCTTTTTAGTTTGACCAAGAACAAATTACAATTGATTCCACATTGTTTGCATTGAATTTGCTTGGCTGGCTCCCGGTGTTTTGCGATAGTTCAACCATCTTGTGCATGCGCCATCAAGAAGATGGAACGTTTTTCATTAATCCAACAAACTGGCAAATGTTTAATAGAAATGAAGCAAGGTATTTCCAAACATTCACATAAACACAGAGATAGAGAATTTCACACAACTTACTTGAGTAGAACGAATAATTGTTTGATCAGAACCGAGGCTTTCGGGTCTTTCAAATGATCAGACAATCTGGACAAAAGGATGACCGAAAATTTGAATTTTTGGAAGAAATCAATTGCCACCTCTCGAAACTGCTTGTCCGTATCGGTTTGTTCGATCAGTTTTCCTGAGGTCGGGAAGTGCCGGAGAAATGTGAACACAGATTTTCACAGGAATAGGATGATACTTCGTTCTGTGTGTGGGTGTTTCTGACACGAGTGCCCAGTTGCTAATTAAAAATACTGCGCAAATTTGATAGCATTAAAATCGAATATGTCAGTGTTTGACTACATCGCGAATGGCCTCAGTTTTTCCTCCTCTTTTCTGCATAAGTAACAGAGCTGGTTTAATCTACCTCAAAGCAGAGTACCCGCCCCACGTACCTGCGTACCCGCCAACGTATTTGTCTGGTACTAAATTACTCGTCATCATGGTTTCGGTGGTTAAATTTAAATGTATTGATCGAACTTGTTCAACACCATGACCTTCATCATATCGTTTGCTCTGAATGCCCTGCGTTTGGAGTCCAGCTTGCGGTAATGAATACAGTATCCATGGATAACAGACATTGCATATCTGTGAAAGTATCTACTTAAGTTATTGGTTCTATTAGTCGCATACCTTGTGAAAGTAAAATTTATTGATTTAAGAGGCCGTCTCTGGTGCTTCACCGATCATATAACAAAACCCGGCAGTGAACTAACCATCAGTGTGCCCTCCTTTATTTTTAAACCCTTGGACCAGTCATTTTGGAATGAAGTCCCCCAAGCTGCACAGCAAATCACATTTTTCAGCTTCTTCCGGAACATGCTGCGCTCTGGCCACTACCGACCACTTTTTAGGTAACTAACTCATCTCTGTCCTGAACTTAAGGAGAACGTTTTCAATTGCATTTTGGTCTGGGCTATATGTGTGGTAACTAAATGCATTCGACTTGGTAACTTACCCATTCTGGCTCTGTGCGATTGTGGGAAAACGATGTATCGTAAGAACTAAACAACTTCTTGTAAAAGCATGCCCTGTTGCAAATGAGTTCTAATAGTAACGGTTAGCTTATATTGATCACTTTGTTCCGGCAGATCCATCCATTTTTTTAAAAGGATGTTGCCTGATGAAGGAGGTTTAGAAGCTCACAAAACGAATGTTAAAAGATAGAAGGGTAAAGTGTTAGGATGAGAAAATCTAGGATCTGATATTTTTCTCTAGTGAGAAAACAAATCCGAGGAGATCTCATAAGTACCTTTAAGTAATGAAGAGTTTGTATGGTGATTGGGAAAAGTTCAGTAGCCTCGGTGGGAATGGAACTCATGCATGGATGCCTCCTACTACCTGTACACGTACGCTCTACCAGATGAGCTACGAGGCCACACCGATAGCACTAATCTTTTCACATTCGAATTACCCATCAATGAGTGCGTTCAAATCCCACCGAGGCTACTGAACTTTTCACAATCGCCATACAAGCTTCAAATCCGCCAAACATCCATTTGCACAATGAAGAGTTCCGGTATTGTCCCCAAAAGGTCTTGCTTCCAGGGGACCCAGATTCCCTGACAACAGATCACTGTGAGGAAATTTCGACCCACAATTTTATCAGAGTCACAATTCTTCAGCTCCAGGGTAGTAAATATATACTGCCCAAAGAACCAACAGAAATGCAGACTAGTGAACCCTTCATGCTACCTCTAGATCAAAGATGAAACTGAATAGCCTTTGGGGTTGAGTAGTGATAACGATCCCCCACTAAGCAACATAACTAACGTTCACATGTCTTCACGTCTTTCGTCGAGCGTTTTAGCGGGGCAAAGAATGAAACACTATAAACAGAGGTGGTTGCCAGACTTGTGCATACCAACGAAAGAACACTGTACGCCCAATTGACCGCGGTAATGTCATGTCCTGTGCCAAGTGGACTTGACTGAACACCGAAAACCTAATCTAGCCGTGTAACAAATTTAGCACAATTCAGAATGTAACGGACGGGAGCCTGACTGCAAGGTGCTTAGTATTTACTTTCCAACCAACTCAACTGGGCAATCGGAGTCGTTTTGAAAATGCGGTCTATATATAACCATTCTCCGCGTAGCGAATTGTTTTTCAACCACCGGTTATTGTCAGTGAACTAACTCGAACGTCAAACGAACGGGATGGAAGAATTAAATCATTCGATGAGATCAATACGTGTAGCTCTTTGTTGGCCGTCGAAAAACAACTTCACATTAGTTGACTTCCACTGCCATTAAAAGTTATTTATCATTCTCTCAACGGTGGTATACGAAAATTGTGGTTAATTCTCCCAGATTTTTCTCGGTATAGGTCGTTTGCAGTTCTTCTCCACTTTAATCGAATTAAGCTATCTCTCATCTTGCTTCAGGTTGGTCGAATCTCTTCACCCGTATTTTCTATCTAGTTAGATAAACTCCATTGATAATACATAATAATACACGTTGAGCTCCTGTGTACTTTGGAGTACATGCACAAGTCAGGAACAGAGACGTGGGGGTTTCTGGGCCCCCCGCGATAAGTTATCCCTTTGCTTGACCTGTATACCGAAAACTCTTGGATTTTTAATCCGTAATTTTGGTTGTGGTAACATTTAAGAATGCATATTCAACGGGCTGCACGCCTAAAGATCAACCTAGATGGATCAATTTTCATGTGAGTAATGAAGAATTTGGTTCAATTTCATAGAGGGAATTCGTCGTACAAATAGCGAATAAAGCATGATCTGAAAAACTAGGAAGCACCAAATAACTGTTTCGACTTGGTTCAATCTCATCAGCAGTGCGAATCCATCGACCCAAGTGAGGACCTATCCCGGGACCCCACAGGTGGAACACAAGCTTGCTACCTGATAAGACCGTTTTTCGTTTTCCATTTACACGATATAACATAGATCACTCTTCTTGAGCGCTTTTATATTCTTTTTATGGCGACAGATTTGTGTCAGCAACTTTTGGTCACAATTTTTCAATTCGTTTATGATATCAAGTGATCACTTTTTGGTACATTTGCTGTGCATTTCATCCAAAAGTTACATTACTAAGAATACTTGGATTGACCAAAATAACCAGCCTTAAAAAAATAATAATCGCTTGTTTTGTAAAGCGTGAACCTCCGTGCTGCTCTGTACCAAATATTTCCTATCTCTGAGATGTAACATTTGAACTCCTAGAACTTCCCTCGTGATACCCAAGGTAGAGCCAATTCAAGTAGAGTGAAAAAGGAGAATTAAGTACATTGCAGTGGGAAATGAAACTCGGAGAATACATTCTTTACCCATGGCTATCAGTGTGCTAATATAACAATGAAAACTGAAATTGAGCTCTGTTATTAAGCTTTGAGTTCAATGAACACCAGTATACCCGAAGTACAACCATATACCTTTGTCATAATTAAAATTGCTGATAATTTATTCACGAAACAAATGTCAGGTTCACATAACCGGAAAATTGTCGCAACTTTTCAGAATACAATACAATACAGTTAGTTTGTACTTAACCAGTAGAAACGATCCAGCACAGAAACTCTATCATCATCCTAAATCATTACGATAAATGTGTCATGATCTGATCTCGGTTATTTCAGGCGGCGATTTCGTGTCACAAGGCGCTAGAAGGGTTCAGTCTGTCAAGCAGCGGCCACTTACCCCATTGACTAGTTTTTCTATTTGTCTTCTTGGATGAGACAGCAAACTGAGTGACTTGTAAACTGAGTTTCATTTGCGTTTTCTGAACTTTTTCACGAATCTGTTCCATATTCACTTCCACGTCGTCGAAACAGCGGTTGAGTAGAGCACCTTCTGCGTTCAACCATTCGCTGTCTACCACGGAATATGGAGTGGGGTACAGCGGCGCGGAGTGGAGTGGAGCAGGGCGGAATTAGGCAGGTTTGTAACCGAGGCGGATTCACAAAGAACAAAGAGTAAAAAAGCATTGATTACTCCAAGAGAAAACCGTTTGGCCAGGAAATTATGTTTAATGCAGTACAAAAATCGGTGTATGGAGTGAGAAAGACCGTGGAAACGTAAACAATGAGTTTCACTATATAAATTTGGAACGGATGGTATGTGTGTTCCTCCTACGCAATATGTGGATATAATGACCATCAATCGGAAGTTGTAAAGTCTAAACGCAGCAGTTTACTAACGTTTTGAAAGGAAATCTAATAACTACTTTACGTTTATTCTAAGAAAGAGTTCGGTGCCACATAATCTTCAACGGTGCAAATAGATTTTGATTTAATCTTGGTCCCTCTCAGGCAAAGCACTAAATGTCTGCCGGAGTTAGTAAAAACATATTATATTGATACCAATATCACACATTCAGCACCACCGCTACTAGCAAGCAATTAAAAGACCTGGTATGGTAAGTTCAATTAGGAAACTAAACCCAAATTTACAAGGAAGACCTGAATTCATGTAAGGCTTTTGATTGTGATGAACAACTAACACACTGTTTCTCCTTCCCTTGCTGTCGAGCTAACTAAATAATTGATTATCTGTAACAAAGAGAATTAAACAAACACGAATAAGCGATTCTGCTTAGATCCGATTTGAACAAGTTGGCAGAGGAGCAAAACTCAAGCCATCCGTGCGATGGGTCCATTGTTCGAAACCCGACCGGGTCGAAGGATATTTGCGCTGTTGGCCTCTACTGAGGGCAAAACTGGAATCTATACCTTTTAACGTCGAGGGTAACCTTTGTAACTTCATGCACCTCCCGAGTGCACGCTTGAGAGTGAACTGAGAACTTTGTGTGAAGATTCAGTTTGGAGGATTGTCAATCCAAATCAATATAACTTATCTCACATCACTGCTAGAAAATTAGCTAGGTCACAACGCTCATCCATATGTGCGTTCTTGCTTGCTGAACCACCCGATCTGAAGATAGCTAGCCATTGTGGAGAGCAGCTGGATCGGAAAGTGGATTAGAGGAGGCTATATCAGGCCCTGAAAGAGTTTAAAATTCTCCCGAATGAGAATGAGACCGAATGCTAAAGTATATCATCAGATGGTGAGGGCCGGACACGANAAATGCAGTGATCCCATCTAAGTTCGGGGTATTTTTTGGAGAACATTGTAGATAATTGATTGAATTTATGGAGAAATTCATAGTAAAGGTGATAGCATGCATATCAGTGATTCAACGAGTGGATTAATTGCTGACTAGATACGGACTACTCTTCGAAAACCTCACTCCCTCGCCTAAAACAAATTATGCTTCTATCGATCCACAACGACAGTTTAAAGTATTTGAATCCACTCATCTCAGTTGCGCTGATGAGTATCACAGTACCCGATTGCGTAATCAAAATCATAATCATAATCATCATAATCATGAGATTGGCTATGAAAGTTGACATTTGTCTATAGATTATCGTTCAACAGTTCAGATATTTGCGTTTGTTTGATCTTTTGATTTATCGTCATTCTCAGAAAAGTCAGGGTTGTCTGGTTAGCAATCTGTTAGTAGAATCTAAAAATCAGACCTGGAGATTGTCATGTAGCACAAGAAACGTGATCCGATGGATCAGTTGTTTTCAAATTGTAGATGAGTACGTGCTACGTTTTGGTGCGAGGGACCGAGTGCGCAAATCCTAGCAACATTCGGCTAAGTGAATGTGCTTACACACCTGATACCAGCTCAAATAGCGTCATTGTAAAATTAAATATTGAAGAATGGCCAGTTCTTAGTTCTCAAACGCAATCCCATGTTTCATACACATACGGTGACACTGCGGTCAGTCGCTTTTTCTCTCGATAATTATCAAACCGAAATAGATGAATGCTATAAGAAAAACGGATGAAAAAGGCATATGTTCTCACGGACGTACTGATTTCTTTGGCAACTATTTCGCTTGTGGTATCTTCGTTCTCGTCCCCGCTAGTCTTCTCCGACGATTGAGAATGATAATCCGAGCTGCTACTGTATCGGTTTCCGCGCGATTCCATGCTGCTCAGTCGGGGAGTTGGTGGTTTATCGGCCGAAAACATGTACAGGATTGAACCACGCTTCTTGGGTGTTAATTTCACATTGAAATTGGTGATTCTTATTTTTTCAGACACAAGTTCAAAATGGGGAACAGGGAAGAGGGCGACGATCAAATAAATGACGTGAATATCCGGGATTTCATTGAATCAAATCTTACTTCTTGCGCTTTCCCGCTCGTGAAAACAACCAAAATCTACTTTCGGTAGCGAAAGATTTTAAAGAATCCATAGGAAATCTCACTTAGAGAACAAACTTGAGACTTTCAAGTGGAGTTAACAGCATTCCAGCTTATTTTTTTATTAATAGGTACGAGACCTTCACCTGGTTCTATATGAGTCTGAGGTTCAGTGTCAGGGTCGAGTTCATTCATCTGGGAGTCAGTGAAATGCGTCTTGTAACACTGCACTCATAAACAAATGAAATTCACCGGCGGGATCCATGTGAACAATGTCGACATCACTCGGGCCGTGCGTGACTAGGATTCCCTGCTGCAGGCTACACCAAGTAAAACCGACGACGAAACCAGAATTCCTGTCCAATCACATGCAAGCATTTATTTAATCTGGAGTCAATCAAGGTCACCGAAGGAGAACAAGGGAGTATTGGTCATTGTGTCGCACTCTTTTTGGGACACCCTGGACAGATTCCTATGTAGTCTGAATTGTTAATAAATTCATCATCGAATTTTACCTTTTTTCCGTAGTTAAACACTCTCAAGGAAGTCACAGCAAATAGCTGAGCTATGAGGTGGATAGATAGTGGGAAACCGGACGGTTAAAAATAGCATTCGAAGGAGTGAGTTAGTGCAGGTTTCCTTCATGTCATAAAATTAAACTCGTCACAGAGAAAAATGTAATAAGATAACCTTAAATCATTGCTCGTGTGATACGATCTCGTTTGGAATCGCTGCTGATGCGACTCGATCAGATCCGTTAACCGGATCAGATCTTGTTCCGCACTCATCACCGGATGTAGAAGAGTTGAAATCTACTCTAGTCAACACCTGCTATAAACTCTTGGTCAGTAAATCTTCCCCAACAGAGTTAGTAACCGCACAACACAGGGAACGGTTGATGGAGTTAAAGGAAAACCGAGATGTCATACTTTCGAGACCAGATAAAGGCGCCGGAATAGTCCTTTTAAATCGATCAGATTATATCAATAAGATGAACAGCATACTCAGAGACACCAGAAAATTTCAGAAAATAGCCGGAGAGAAAGATAAAACAGAACAAATAGAAAAGTCACTGTCGAAAACGCTCCGTTGTCTCAAACAGAGGGATGTAATAGACACGTCCACATTCGATCAACTCCGACCAACCGGAACGACGATCCCCAGACTTTATGGCTTACCGAAGATACACAAAAATGGAGTGCCTCTCCGACCGATTCTAGACATGCGTAACTCCCCTTACCATGCCTTGGCCAAGTGGCTGGTAGCGATTCTGGAACCCGTACGAGCACAACTCACTAATCACACATTGAAGGATTCCTACGACTTAGTGACCAAGATTAAAGACACTAACATAAACGGATTGCGTATGATATCACTCGACGTCAGTTCACTCTTCACAAACGTTCCCATTGATGAAACTATTGAATACATATGTGACCACATACAATGGAATAATTGTGAAGTTGGAATACCAGTTTGTGATCTCAAGCAATTACTATACTTTTGCACACATAATGTACAATTCAAATTCAATGACGAAGTATATCGCCAAATAGATGGAGTAGCCATGGGATCTCCTCTGGGTCCATTATTCGCTGATATTTTCATGGCAAAGCTGGAGAATAATATCCTAAAACGAACGATTGATCGTTGCACAGTTTACAAGCGCTATGTGGACGACATTTTGTGCTTTGTCAATGACAGTGTACATCTGTCAAGACTCTTGAAAGTATTCAATTCAGCTCATCCAAACATCAAGTTTACTCTAGAGAACGAAGAGAACGAGCAGCTTGCATTTCTGGACGTTCTATTAAGCCGTCGATCAGACGGAACTATCCGACGCGCCATCCACAGGAAGCCATCGTGGAACAATCAGTATATCCATTTCAAAAGCTATGTGCCTTTGGAACGAAAAAGAAACTTGATTCATTGCCTCGCTTCCAGGGCGCGGAGAATATGTACGGACGATACCATTGATGCAGAATTGAGGCTTATTCGAGATGTTTTCCTTCAAAACGGATACCCCTTACGATTTGTGGACAACATTTTGAGTCGTCACCGGTTGCCTAATAAGACCATTACTGCGGAGAAGAAACCAGTTTACATATCTCTACCGTTCAAGGGCGACACGAATGCCGAAATGGTGACACGCAAACTCAATACAGTTGTTGAAAAGGCATTCCATGCGGCAAAACTACGAATTATGTTCATCTCCAGGCCACTTCTGTGCTTTCAACTCAAAGATAAATTGCCTGTTTCTGCCGTCTCTTTCTGTGTATACCTATTTACTTGTTCCTGTGGGGCAAGGTACATTGGCCGCACGAGCAGACGTTTATCTGAACGAGTCCGTGAGCATCACCCGGCCTGGTTGAACAGTGGAGTAATTAGGACGATTAACAGCTCAATCGTTTCACACCTAGTGGACTCAAACCACGTAATCGATGTGGCTGAGGCGTTTCGACCCGTCTACTTGGTTCGCACCCGCCGATCTAAGAGGATTAGAAGTCGCATTTTGGCCATAGCGGAAGCGATCGGAATCCACCTACATAATCCCCCCCCCCTATGCTCCCAAAAGCAATTCGTAAGAACACTCGGCCTTCCATGGCCAACACCACACACGACACAGCCATTCCCCCACCCACCTGTAATGACCCAAACCAGTGCACGTGTGTGAGGACCAAAGTGTGAGCGACATCCGGTCATGGAACTGGAATGTTGATTATCTCTTTTCCAATTTGTCTTGATCTCTCCACCCCTTCCAAACTGTTTGATATAAATTGTGATGTATTAGCCTGTAAAAGAATCACCGCAAACGAGCTTGTTCGCTACTTTGTGTTTTCTCACAATGAGTATTGATGGTATATTCAGACAATATTGATGATATTCAGGTGTAAAACTGTAGCTACTACTACCAGAAACAAAAACGTGCATGGATTATCG